GCCCCTGGCCCCGGGGCTGGAGAAGGGCCGGGCGCTCTCCTACGAGAGCCTCAACGGCTGCTTGGTGGAGTACATCGAGAAGGTGCGGGCGCTCGAGCAGGTCAACCAGGAGCTGGAGGAGCACATCCGAGTCTACCTGGACAAGAAAGCGGCCAGCGTGAGCAGCTGGGGAGCCCTGCGGGAGAACTGGGAGGCCATTTACCATCAGGTGAGCGGCGGAGCGCTGTCGGCAGCGGGAGGGATGGAGCGGGGGGCTTCACCAGTCATTAGCGATGCTGAGCGAGGAGGGTTGACGCTGGTGATGAATGCCGCCTGATTTCAAGGCGCGGTGCCCTAGACGAAGGGGTTTACATCCATCTTCCTGGTAATGAGCCTGGTCGTTTCGCAGTGTGTTGTGGAAAACGCCTGTTAAGCAGGAGAATTGCCGCCGGCATCCTGCGCATGGGGGAGATGGAAATGCACCCCGAGGCGCGACAGTCTGGGCTGATTAAAATGGGTGATGGGGGGGTTTTTTAATTATTTTTTTTCTTAGCTGTGGTTATTACACTGAGCACCAAAACTATTAAAAGAAAACTGCTAGGACCGAATTAGTTTAGCCTTCAATACAATATCATTACAAGCACGTTGGTGGTTTTTTTGTTGTTAATTGGCAATTCAGATTTTTACTTTATTCCCCCGTTTGCTTAATCACATTTTCAAAAGCTCTATTTATTTAAAAATAACAATGACATGGCTACAAATGAGTGACTCCTTCCCTTCCCTTTGTCACCACCCCGCCATCCCTTACTCCCGCCTTCTCCGTACAGCACAGGCTGCGGGTTCTCCAGGTAAGCGTTTGGCGGGGTGGGGGGTACGAAATGGAGCGTGTTTTGTATGCATTGACCTCATGGACAAGGAACGGTCCCTTTTACTGACCAGTAAGACCAGTAAGACCTTGCCAGCTGATGCCCTGCTTGCAGGGAACACGGGGATCTGTATCCCGTGGTCTTGGGGCACCTCGTGACTCCCAGCCAGTGGGGACCCCAAGGAGCTAGAGCCCGGCGTCCTGCACATCTTTTCCAGCAGCACTTGTGCAGGCACAGGAAATGCCGTGAGCGGGTCTTCAGGAAAGACAACTTTGAGTTCCCTGGGACAACTGTGTGTTTTTCCTTGGGCTGGCCAGAGTTCACTTCTGGCCTAGGAAAAAGGTTGCATTTCTGCCGTGCGCAGCATTTAAAGGCAGGTCTTCACCCAGGAGACTACAAACACGGTCCGGACCCGGAATGCAGCGGCACAAGCTGTTGCACAAAGACAGATGCACAATGTCAGCAGAAATGGCCAGTTAAGCACCGACTGCTAAAGCTGTTCTCTTTTTTGTGTCAGTAAATGCCATCGCTGCCACTAATCCTGTGAAGCTTCCTGAAGGGACTGGCTGCTGAAGGCAGTGGGTGCTCTGAGCCTGGGGTGCTTACGCAAAGCGATGCCCTGAACTTGCCATCTTGCTGAGGTAGATGGGGGTGTTGATGTGAGGTGGAAGGTGGCACTTGGCAGACCCCATCCCATGTTTTCCAGACAAGTCTCCCATTTTGCAGTTGCCAACCTCACCTGTAAAACTTATCGGGGCTTATGGCTAGGGCCAAAAAAGTTGGACTGGAGGTACCTTAGGAAGGACTGTTTGATTTTTCTTTATACGAAAGCCCAACACTGTAGCACGGATGAACCTACTCATGTAATATTTTTTCACCCATACAGCTTTCCTTTTAAGCTTTCTCTATATTGTCATCCCACCACCTTGCCGCTACCTCTCTTTCTTATGAGTAAATAAGAGCAGGCCATCACGAAATTCTAGCTTGAATACTGGGCTCTTTCAATATTAAATCAGAAAAATAAAGCTACATAGTAATAGCATTTGCAAGTATCATAGAAAATAAGATTAGCATCATCCCTATCTATTAAAACACATCAGAGAATCTTTAAAATTTTCCAAATCACTTAAATCAATCAAAGAGGCATCACTTAGTGGGTTTTGACTTGGATGTAATCCGAGTTGTTATGTACAATTCTGACTATTAGGTTTCTTGGCCTTTTTTTATATTAAGCATCTAACCAAAAATGAATGTAGGACCTTATCCAGCCCAAACACTGATTAACTCATTCATCCTGGGGCTAATTGGCAAATGTGTGCCAGCATCAACACCAGAACTGTCACACATTAAAATATCATCAACATCAGTTGCTGCAGAAACAGCTGCAGCCACACAAAGTCGGCAACCTCCTGCCACGACGCGTCCAAGCGGGAATAGTAAAAAGGTGTCCAGGAGTCGGCCGTAAGAGAAATGAGAGATACCTGGCAGGCACGTTTCTAGATGTGATTTCTGTAAACATATTTAGATTTTCTGTAGATGTCCACATCCACCTTAATGTGACATACCCTTTTTTCAGCCTCCTGCAAAATCTGAGGATTCTTTTCGATTCCCAGCCAGCCCCGTGCTTTCAGCCAGGACAGATGCCCAGCAGCCGTAAACCCCTCGGTGCCCTTCGCATGAAGCAGCTGGGAAAGTCTTGGGGCGGAAAGCCGTTTGAGCTGCCACCTGCTTTAACCTCCTTGCCTGCACTAGGAACAGATTTTGAACATGAAGAAGCAAGGAAAAACGCACAATTGCCGGGGGCAGGTCTAGGCGGGAGCCCCTTCCTCCTGCCCTGCTAGGGAGAAGACAAGGATACAGCCACATAGAACTCTCCTTGTCCCAAAATCAAAAAATGCGATGAGCTCATCTCTGCAGTGGGGTAGGAGAGACCCCAGCAGACCAGAGGTCCTGTTTCCTTCCTGCCCTTCCTGGGATGTGCTCCAGCATCCCACATTTCGGGTAGTTTTGCTCCCAACAATAACAACTGGCTGCCAGCATTTCTCCCAAACATCGAGGTGGGGGGGGAAACGTGGCAGCAAGTGAATCGGAGGGTGCAAGCGGCGGGTCGCTCAGGGGAACAAGCACTCGTGTTCCATCGCCGTCGTCAGAGCTGTTACTGCAGCAGGGGATCGCTGGCAGGAGCTGCATGATGAGAAGCCACTACCAAGCTCCCAGCATTAATTATCTGCCTGGGCAGCTGGTTTTTAACAGAGCAGGTAGACACACGCTAATTGGGACAGGCGCAAAGTGGGAGGATTTTTGTGGGAAACATGGGAAATAAGAAATCCTTGTGGAGAGGAATTCATGTGACAGCAATACAAATTCATCTCATCTTACCCCAGACACAGTGCTTTTCTCCAGGTTTCATCCCGGGTCGTCTTGTGGAAAATTCTATCTCTAATCAAATGTGTTTCTTCTGCAGAGTAGGAGGTTGTTTGTAATGGCAATTCCTTCCCCTGGAGCAGGGCAGCACCTGGGAAAAGTGGACACTTGAAATAATCTCAGTGAGTTTACGGAGAGGAGAGGGCAGCTCAGCCTCCGTGACCGTTCAATTACAGCTGCGGGGGAGACACAGAGATTCACGTTGTCTACGTGGTGGCAGGTAGCGCCGTTCAGATCACAGGTGTAAACACAAAAGCAGAGGAAGGAATCAACATCCCGGACCAATTTTATCACTGGCGTGATGGTTGGGGCATTTGAAAGGTCGCCAGAGTTTTGCTATAGACGTACTTTATTTGCACCTGGCCTTACTGTCAGCATTTACCCAGAGTTAGGATTACGCCTGGAGAAGGTACAGGCCTGGCAGCCCGAGGGATGGCCGCAGGTGGGCTGGCACCCAGTAGCTGATGTGCTGCAGGGCCAGGAGAGCTGCCGAGTATTATCTGTAACACACCCTAACGCAACCCACTGCGTGATTAGTGTCTGTGAACAGGCCGAATAGCATTCTGCTACTCATCTAAGGGCACAACAAACTCCCACAAAATGGCACAGACCCTGGTCAACCGCCGATAAATCAGTTTTGATTATGTCCTCTCAGCCACCTCCAACAGCGTAACCTTGGATTACCTTCACGTACAGCTGTGAGGAGAGGGGTGGGAGGTTTCCTCCTTGTGCTTAGGCAACTCTACAGTTTTTACAGATCGTTTCTTTAGGAGGTATCTCGTTCTTTGAGAACCTGTCATTCTTTGATGCAATCCTGCTTACTTATACAATACTCCGTGTATAAATGAAGCCTTGTTTTCCTGGGGACGGCAGGAACCGGCAGAGGACCCATCAATCTTCCCAGCCTCTCTTCAGGTATTATCTTTCCCAAGGCGATGTAACAAATACCACTCTTCCGACCTTTAAGTCTTCATCCCACAGCTGCTGAGAAGGGTTTCCACACGGAAACCGTGACCAAAAGCGTTTTGAGTTTACTGAACGGCAGGCACTGGGTTGCGTGTTTTTAGCCTGATTTAGCTGTGAATTAAAATGTGTTGCAGACAAAACACATCGGTTGCTGATATCAACCATTTCCTCCTGTGTGGGGAAGGAAAGACTAGACCGCTATCTTCTGATCTTTCTCCACGGAGGCATCATTTGCTTTAACTGAAGTGAACTTAAAAGCCAGATAATTTTCCATTACATGAATAATTAAACTGTGAGATTCATTATCACAGGCCACACCTGAGGCCGTGAACGTGCAGCATTCAGAAAGGCTTTAGGCATTTGTAAAGGATAGCAAAACCATACAAAGCTATCAATAAAGCGTAGCTAAGGATTTGAAAGGCACAGTAAGTCTTGCAATGCAAAACTTGGTCAGATCTCTGTTAAAAACCAAAAGTTACCAGTCAGCAGGGGGAGGTTCTCCCCATAAGCATCTGTATGACGTCACGCGCTCTCAAGGCTGGAGGCTGCAAACGCCCTTGAAGCAGCTGGTTTTCCTTGTTGCCAGTCATAACCCAGTAAATGGGCCAGTACGTTGATGCAGATTTTGATAAGATTTTTTTTCAAAAAATTAAAATCGCATTTTCATGCCCATAAAAGTCACATCAAAGAAAATTGTTGCTTCTTTCTAGTTAAGATGTTTTATACCTCAAATATTCAGTGTTAATTCAGGAGCTGGAAAAAATCATGTTCAAAAGGTGTACGAGCATCACAGATCCAGGTGTCGAGAGACAATATGTGACTTAAAGGAACTATTATTAGTAATAATATTTGCATTTTTATAACACTTCCCATTTTGGCAGTTTAAATGCCACACGAGCATCAGTGACTTAACCTCCCAGCAGCCCTGCGAGCAGGACAGCTTTGCCTTCTGCTTTGCACGCGGAGGAGGCGCCGTCTGTGTGCTTGCAGCATCGCAAGCCCTCTCATTTCTGATGGGCACAAAGAAGGGTGTTTCCTAAACTGCTGCATCATGCGTTTTAGTGCGCCTGTCAGCAAAGCAGCTACGAATCCGTCTCACTCATGCTGCGTGGTTGCGTCCAGCTGTTGATTATTAAATCAAACAAAAGAGCCACTAGATGGAAGTCTTACATCTCTTCTTCTCAAGCCTAGAAAAAGAGCTTTCACTGCTCATGCAAATCAGGGAGAATTTTTCAGGAAAACTGGTTCCTACATTGAAACTACCATGAAATTATTTATCCTTCGGGTTCACTGTCGGATTTAAAGCGTACACAGCTCATTTCCAGGAGGGCTGAAAGGCTAATGTCTGTCGGCTCCCATTACAACACTCATCCCTGAAGCCTTCCACACAGTAGGCTTTTTTATACCATTTTTATTTACATGGCACAGTTGAGGTTTGTGTGCAGTTTTGGACTTTCTCGCTGAACATTTGGCATTAGCTGCCCATCTATGAAGGGGCAGTCTGGTATTAACCAAGTCCTCAGGGGTATGGTACCAGGGCTCTGGTAGAGACATCCACTTGTGGGACAGGTAAGAACCCGTCACAAATTCTTCAACAAAGCCACTAGATTACTACTGAAAAGCACAAAGAGCAGTTTCCTTCTGCAGAGCAGCAGAAATCCGAGCAGTGGAAAATCACCAGCTACTCCCTGCGATGCAGCCCAAAGCCATTTTACACAGAATTCAGCCTCTGAACGTAGCCATTAACATACCTCTGAGTGGCACTGTGCAGCTCACAGGATTTAATGTTACTTTTGATCGTGGGACGTTCCCAATTCCCCCAAAGACATTCATTTTCATCAGACTTCAGGTCAGGTGTTGTAACTGCAGGGGCTCACTGATGGAGGTAAATGGGCTTGTTTTGACAGGGCAGGGCAAATTGTGGGGCAGCGTTTCTGCTCCCTGATTTGACTGAGGAAAAAAAAATTTCTGACAATCCATACATTTATGAGTTGACAGAGAGAGAAAATAATTTCTGTAGGAAAAAAAAAAAAAAAAAACCCACAACAAAAAATCAGAGGCTTAAACTGCCTCTACCTCCATACTACTGCGATGTAAAAACTGTCTTTTCTCCACCTTTCTGCAGAAACTCAGGTCTCCTGGTGCAAGGGGACCCTAGGATGGCAGAGCAGCACAGTCCCAAAAATACTGGCTCTTCCCAGCCACTCTGAAAAGCTGCAGAAGGGGTGACCCAGGGGCGGGGGAGTTAGGCCAGTGCTGGTAAAGCTGGGTTGCAAAAAAACAGGGAGAAGGAAAAAAGAGGTAGAATGACAAAGACGAGCCAGTTGCGTGTGCAAGACAGCACACAGAGGTCTTCCATACTTGCGTGCTGCACGGCAGGGCTGGCTGGGCTGCCATCAGGCACCATCTCTTTGCCCACACCCGTGGCTTCCATAACATCTCAGACTCCTGCGCGTTCGCTGCGCTCTCTCAATTTTCTCCTGCCTAACCTGGGGCTTTTTTGCCCAGTGGTGGCATTCACAGGACATCTCTCCTCTGTCTAGATGCTATTTTCATTAAAAGTGTCGGAACTGTGTGTCCCTAAGATGGCCTATGCCTCTGATATCGGTTGGAATTGGCCAAGAAAACCCACAGTTATTAAAGAAAAATTGGCTGTCCAAGTGATGGCACGAGCTCGGTTTCCTTTGGAAGCCAAGCTGAGCTGGAGCTGGCAGGAACGGAGCACCGGCCCCAGGCTTCCAGCTGCAGCCACCTTCCCTTTTTGTTCCTAGGTGAGAAGTAAGCAAACCGCTTTTATTTTTCCTCTGATTTTAAAGATGTAGAGTGCTTTTAACTTCATGACCCATTATGGACTTCTCAACGCAGGGAATAGGTTCATCCTCCAGATCTCTCCCTATGAAATGCCTTCACATACTGCGTGTAAGTTTGTCCATATTTGACATTTGGAGCAGTAAGCCACTTCTTGTGAGGGTGGATGTTAACCATCAGGTAGAAATTCTTCAGCCTTGCGTGTCCACCTCCATCCCAAAGCTATCAAGCAGGCCCAAGAACAGGTCAGACCATACTAAGGCAACGAGCCCATCTGCGGTACTTGAGATAACTTCTCTGGAAGACGCCTTGATGTCACCACATTGCACGGCCTGTTTCACCTCGGGGAGGCAGAATGCTTTGGGGGATTTGCAATCTCATTTGGTTGCAGACTTAATTACCTAAAGAAAGATTGCTTCGAGAACTCTCCTGGCCTGCCTAAAAAAATTGCTCTTATTCATGTGGTGGTTTAGTTTCATCTGCAAATCTCCATGGGTATCTCCAGAAAAAGACCAAAGAGACGTTCAGTTTAGCTCCTCCAGAGTGACAGGCATGGAATATGGGATGGCTGGAGCCCCCAGGTAGTTATTTGCAGCAGTGATTGCTCTAAGCCTCGTACCAAATTCAGCAGTCACCTCCATAGCTCAGTGCATGCGTGACTCCAGGGCAGGCAGTGGTCTTTTCTACCTTTTTATCATTTTGTCACCTTCTTGAATCTCAACAAGCTGCTATGACACAAGTCTTTCAGGTTTGCCTACCCCTCAGGCTTGCCTCCTGGGCGTTAAAGATACACCCCAGAGCAACAGCAAGGATACCAGAGTCTTATTTGCAAAACCTTTCCAAGGCATTTCACGTTCAGTGTAATAATCTTTGAAGACTGCCTGCTTCTCAGGTCTCATACCTATCGCAAGAGCTTACAGGATCCCACCAGAGAAGAAAAACAACGCTCTGGGAGCTGAGGACGGCTCGCAGGCAGCATGAGCAACAAGTATTCCTTGGTTCGCTGAAGAGGACGGCCCTGAAGAGGACTGTTGATACGGGAAGTAGAATAAGAACTGCATAAGTGCCTCTTAAACGCTACCTAGAAAATATAAGTGGGACTTAAATGATGAACATACCTTGCTCACATAATGAATTTTGCTCCTCGTGACCAGCTGACGATCAGAAAAAACACGTTTTCACAAGAAGATGAGTGCTTAGGAGCAATGAACAGTTTGATGACAAAGTACAGCCTGTTTGCAGAGAATCTGTAAACTTACACCTTCAAAATTCACTGATTAAATTATCTGTAATGAGTCACTTGAACAGCCCTAGGCTAAAGGATTATTGTCAGAATCGGAGATATACATCTGCTTAAGATACGTGTACAGTGCATGTAGCTAATGTGCTGAAGCTCCTCATGGCTTGAGCTCTGTTGTCTCTTTCTTCTAGGTGGGTGAAGCAGTCCTTGAAAATGCTCGTCTTATGCTGCACACCGAGAACATTCAAGCCTGTGCTGAAGATTTTAAAGACAGGTAGTCCTGTGGTGGCACCCAGCTGGCCCCTTTCATTGAAACGTTGCCTTGGTGAACACTTAGTCTATAGGGGAGTAAGGCTTAGTGATGTGAAGGGGCTCGTTCTGAGTTGAATATTCAACCACCTGACTTGGGAGGGTTTTTCTAAGAGTGAAATAATTATGATGCTAAAATTATTTTGGAAGAGTTTGAAGATTTATAGTAACAAAAATGTGGACTAGCAAAATTACCTAATCTGTTCTTTAATATACAGATATTGATCTCTTGCTGAGAGGTCAGTATTCATTCAAATTTGGGTTGACATTTTATAAAGGCAGACATTTATGTGATTATTGGGTTTAATTTGTAAGGCCACACAAGTGGGTTTGGGAGTAAAAATCATTTTACTACAGCAACTGAAAAGCAAAAACTATGCTACTATAAACACCAGTGTAGAAACGTTAGATAAGGAAACAGAAATTATTTTCTTTATCTTTACTGAGAGAAATGAGTAGTAAAAGAAGACCTTAAATACTGACAAACTACTTTGTTAACATCTTTCCATATGCAAAGTCTAATATCCATATACATGAGTGCATGAAGCTCTTTAGGTTTTACTTAGAAGGCCTGATGGTCCTAGATTTTATTGGTAACAAATCTGTTCATTTGCAAATAGCTTTTTGCAAGGTCTGACACACAAACTAATTGATTTTCATGTCCTAGAACTTTTAACAACCCTTAAACTTCTGTCTCTCTCTCTGGTATTACTTTATTTAATCGTATCAAAACGTATGTTACACACATTGTTAGGTTTGCTTTTTATTTCAAAAAGGTACAACTCTGAGCTACTTATTTTATGGCTCTACATCCAACAAGCTATGCTCATATTCTACATATTTTTAAGAAATATTGTTTTTAAGGCTCTCAAAGGGCAGAGTGTAGGATTTGTTTATGAAGCTGGCTCCCCTCTAACCTGCCCACCCCCCACCTAACCTCCCCGACCACCTGGTTCCCAGGTTGGATGGGTTTGATACAAAAGCCTCCCACCCAAAGAGATTCGCCACGGAACCCAGCCCCATTTTCAACAGAAAGCCTCAAATGAAAAGGTACAAACGAGAGCGACGCAGCAAGCAGCGCTGTAGAATAGCAACCGCCTGCCACAATTTTCCCTACCGTCGCAGCCACGGTTTAGAAACGAGCCATTCGCTTTAACAGCAATTCTAGTGGACAAACCAACCACTCCAATTTCCTCTTAATTTTTATATTACTGAGATTTGGTCTTAAGGATGGGCTGGGATCCTGGAACATAGACCAGGCTTCCATCAGCACGTCCGTCAGTAAAAGTAATGCTCGATGCGTACGTGTTTTCTTTAACCGTAGCTCTGAAAAGTTTTTCTGTATATGGACGAGCAGTTATTCTCATTTTCAGCCAAGCAAACAGAGAAAAAGCCACCCGCGGTCATACTGCATATAAATAACAGATCTAGGAAGAGCCCACGCGCCTCGCTACGCTTGTTCAGGAAGGCGATCAGGCTGATAACCACCGTAGTGCAGGCTGCTAACGTGGCCTGGTTTAGTACGCTCTGGGTTAATGACAGGGTACTTCAAGCAGTTAAATTCAATATAGCCAGACAAGGTGAGAGCAAAGTACGTCTTGTGTGTTTCTGCGCCTCTGCCTGGGACACATGAGCTAATTATGTCGGTTAAAAAAAAAAAATTAAAAAGCAGGTTTTTCTTGCTGAGCTGTACTTTATTGAGGTTTGGGGTTTTTTTCTTTTCTTTGCAGGTATGAAAACGAGCAGCCATTCAGAAAGGCAGTGGAAGATGAAATTAATTCCCTATATAAAGTGATTGATGATGCTAATTTAACTAAAATGGATCTGGAGAGTCAGATAGAAAGCATGAAAGAAGAACTAACTTTGCTGTCAAAGAATCATGAAGAAGTAAGTCCAGACTCGGGACACTGCAAAGCCAATGTGTGCCTGTTTCATCTGGTTGGTATCATACATCTAGTCCAAAGCAAGCACTAAAAAGCTCCTTCTGCCACATGTGGGCGGGGGGATTCTCCGGAAAACTGCTCCTGTTTTTCTCTTCTCTTAAAACACTAACCTCTGAGGCATGACCAAATTACTTACCTTTAAGTTTTAACTCTTTCTCCTCTGATAAATACGACATGGAAGAGATGTCATCACTTCATTTCTTGCCAGATGCCACGTGATGCTCACGGGGTTGCACAGTCACGTATGTGGACATCTCAAGGTCTGATTCTCAGCCATGAGGTGCAAAGAGAAAATGCATTTGCAGGGAACAAGCTCTGGTCCTGCTGCACCAGCGCTGAGCAATAATCAGGTTCTGAAAATATCCTGCTTGGCTTAGCACGCTGGAACTACGTCCCTCCCGAGCAACACACCACTGAAGCAGGTCACAGGGACAGGCAGCAAGCAGTTGTGCTGATGCCTCAGGAGTAAGAGAGTTGGATCAAGATGGCTTAGGGAAGCAAGGCACTCTCCCACCTTACACTTCTTACAGGTTATTTCTCCAACCACAAGATTTCAGCAACATTGGCAGGTGTATGGAGACTTGGCTTGCCAAGATGAGGTTGCTTAATCCTGTCCCCTACTTTCATGAGTCTAATGAGTTGGCATTTTGCAGAAAACTACCCGTGGCTTCATTGCCACTGCACAGCATGAGAAAGGTGCAAGTTGTTTTAGAAGAGAGGGAAAACAGAAAATTGATAGAAATACACAAGATCCCCTTCAAACCTCCGTGTATTGCAATGACTGCTGTGAAACCAGAAAAGCCGGCGCTGATGCCGATCTCTGGCCATACCTATGGCACAAAGAGAACAACACCTTTCCAACACCCCTCTTGCTCCGCATTTAGCCAGCGAGGGGCCCTTGCAGGGTGGAAGGATGCTCCTTTCTTTACCAGTTGGGAGCACCCGAGCATTCGCAGAACCACCTCAGCACAGACCTGGTTTTCCCCATGGCAGCAGCACCAGCGAAGCTGCTCTACAGAAGTCTCAGAATAAAGGCTGGAAGCAACTACTGCAATTACTCCAGCTGAGCTCTGGCACAGTGAAGTCCCAAGGATTTTCCTGAACTAATTCAAACCATTCTTTCCTCCAATACTCCCACCAGGAATCCATGTCAAGTCCTTTGGAAGCTTTTGTGAACCTGGAATGGGCACATTCTGAGGCTTTGATTCTTGCAGGTTCATAATTCACTTAATTCCCATCCTTTTTTTTTCCAGTATTGTCATTGTCAGGGGCCATTGCTTATAAATACAATTCCCAGATGCTTTTACACTACTTCTTTTTTTTCCTTATGCCAATAGCAAAACCAGATTGATGTAAAAGGATTGTGGTGCCAGACAGTCCAGATACACGTGCAAATCTCATTTGTTCTCGTGTTCCTGTACGCTATGTACAACTGAGGTGCTACCTTTAAGTGTGCAATTCCAGACACACCGATTCTCTACTGTTTATGTGTTTTTGGTGTGCAGCGTGCACGTGCCAAGCTCTGACTGCTGGAGAAACTTGCCACTGTGAGAGGGCTGCTCCAGGCAGTGCCTCGGTGCAGGGCTTCAGTCTCCTTCCACCATGGAGGAAACCACTTCCAGTAGCCCAGATCTGCAGCAAGACTCCACACGCAGCAGCGAGGCAAATGCACATCTGGAAAAGAAACCCTCCAGTGCACTAAATCATTAATGTAGAGACACCTTGTGGGACCAAATTTAATTACTCTCTCTGTTTGTGGTACCAAAAGAGCTCTTCCTCAAGCCTCTCTGAAGCTGCCATTCAATTGTCCGGTTCACGGTCTTTATGTCTGTTATTTTTGTTCAAGGATGTGAAGGTATTATACAAGCAGCTTGCTGGTTCTCAGCTGGAAGAACTTGATGTTCCCCTGGGAAGTGGCTTGGATGACATACTGGAAAAAATCAGAATCCACTGGGAGAGAGACATTGAAAAGAATCGCGCTGAGACTGGTGCCCTGCTCCGTACCAAGGTAAGCACACTGTAACCTACCCCAACATTACCGGATTTGAAGCAAACACAAAATCTAATACTCAGCAGTAACTTTGAGGGTTGGGTATTTGGGCTTTTTTTCTTGAAGCAAAAACAAACAAACAAACAAAAAGATGGTAAAAATCTAAAGGACTTTGGTCCAAGTTCACGGGAAAATACACACATAAATATCGCTGGATTCTTGGGATGCACAGTTAGGCAGCAGTGGAAATGGCCCTGCTGATATCACAGGTATCTGTGAGCGTCTTCTAAGGGCTCTGAAGTGTTAGCTAAGAAAAACAAACTTAATCAGCTGACACTTTCTGTCTAGGATAGGCCATAGTCATTACCCTTCTCACTAGGGCCATTCCTCCACAGAATATCTTATAGTGGTCTATAAATCAACAGGGCAAAATACTGTTCTACACTAATTATACAGCTATAGTGTGTTTCTCCTTGAAATTGTTCCCTTTAGCAGCAGTGGGAAAACTGGATATTAACTTAGAAATTAAAAGTGATGATAATAGCCATTCCCTTTTCTGATGCTGGGCCTGAAACAGCCTTTTAATGCAGCTTTTTCTCTGTCATGAAGGATCTCTCGTTTTCCAAAGTGGCTGCCGGAAGTAAGTATTTTTGCAGAGCTGAAGCATTAAGTTGGGCGGATGATCCCACATGTTGGTAGCCATCTCATTCTGAGTTGGCCGTTACAGCAGAGCACGGCACAGCAAATCATAGCTACAGCTGCGCTATAGAAATATTTAGCAAAAATATAGCCCTCCTCTGTCCCGGGCTGCCATGAGAGAAGCAGGGGGTAGTGAAGGCAAACAGCAAGAGAAAAGGCAAGAAATAAGTTTGCAAAGATATATTCAAGCTCTGACTAGGTGTTTATTTTCATAATAAAGAAGAAAAATCCTGTGACAGCAAAGGTGCTAGGGAGGGTACAAGACAGAGGAGTTTATCCCAGAGGTCCCATCCAGTTTGTGAGCATGCCAGACTGTAACTAAGCAAAGTTTTCATAAGGTTAGTCTGTGGGGGCCTGATTTTCAGCTCGTACAGCCCAAAGGCAGTCGGTGACACAGTAATAAACTACATGAGACTGGAGAGTGCCCCATACAAAGCACATGTGGCCCTGAAAAGCCAGAGCATCCTCAGTGGCCTCCTAATCGTTTCCCAGAAAATCTGTTCCTGGCCTACATCCAGGTTTCAGCAAAATAAGCATTACTCTTCAGTGGCCCCACTTTCCTGTCCTGCTTGTTCCACCTCCTCCTGTGCAAACACACCCTCACAACTTCTCTCTTTCACTTTCTCTCATGCCTTTAATAGCTGGTCTTCCAGCTGCTCAGAGATCATTGGGGGAGAAAACGCCAGCTCACACTAGACTGATCACTGGATCCCACTATCTTCTCCTTGATACCTAACCCATCCCTCCTTGGCCATCTTAGTCTAAGCTCTTACTAGTTTAACTTGTTCCAGTTTTTGGCTTGGGGTGGGTTTTTTTGGTTGGTTTTTAATGGGAGGAAGAATCAGGACGTCGCAGATTTATGGAAAGGTCAGTTCTGGTTCTGAGCAGGTTCTGGCAGGACATCCCCAGGGGTTTTGGTCCCCAAGTATACCTCTCATTAAGCCCAGATGATGCAGTTTTGTATCTCATACAGATCTATTCAGATTATTACTATTTATACAGAGTTCAGCATTTTTCAGCTTAGCTTGTGGATTCATGTCATCATGTGGCTAACTTGCACCAGTTGGTTATCCACGCTGAAAAAACTGTCCTTACTCTTTCGTTGCATCAGAGGAGGGAGAGCAGTTCCCCCCTCTGCTTTGCTCTTTATTACTAGTTTCTTCAGTCTCTCTGTGGGAGGTTTTCCCTGGTCCCTAATATTTTAATTTCCTTCTTCTGCACACACTCTTTGCTAACATGTTCCCAGAACTCAAGAGCCTATCAAAGCCACTTTCTCTTTGCAGAAATCATGGTGATCAGACCCTGGATGTTGGTGTTCTATCCCTAATTATCTTGATTCCATGGAAAACAGGCTAATGAGAGATTCTGTGTTCTGGCCCAGTGCCTAGCTCAGAACTGTACAGATATGCTTGAAATCCACACATTCCTAGGCAACTCAAGCACCAAAATGATAAAGATGGAGGAGGAGGATTTCATCCTCTCCTCCATTAATGAAGTTGTATGTGGGCACCGCAATTCGGTGTAGCCTTACCCTTCCGGAGCACCTCAGGAATAGGCAGAGCAGACCCTCCAGAAAAAATCCAGGGATTTATAGGTAGCATTTGGGCCATCCGCAGGGTAAATGTGAATGAGAGATGCCAGGCTTCAGGTAATGGGTGCAGGCTATACACAGAGGCGCAAAGGCACCCTCCCTGCCCTATGCAGCTCTTAAAAAAGAGGCATTTATAGTCCTCATACCATAATAATGTGCAGACTTTACTCTCAACACGATTTAGGACACACAAATTACTCTGGATCACTAGGAGGAGGGATTATGTGTGTCTGAAATCACAGAATCACTAAGGTTGGAAAAGACCTATTAGATCATCTTAGTCCAACCAAGAAATACAAGCACCTATAAAATATTTCTGGAAAATACAGGCTGTGTGCAATTTGCTGGAAAGGACAGTTTTGGTGTTTGGATTGAAATTCACCCCTCTGCAACACAGGTTCATAAATCCTAAATTCTGTTTGAGACTTAACTGATACTTAAATGACACATTCCACTGGCTGACCATTTGCACCTCAAATTATTTCAGTCGCAGTGACCGAAGTGGGGTGTTCACATGATGGCACCAAAAAACTCTATAACAATGATTTCTGGTGTATGGTCCCAGACTTTTTAAAAATTTCTTCTTACTTTTAAATAAAAGAATGCATAATCAGAAAAGTAGGACGAGGTCAAGATGAATTTTCAGAGTAGAATGGAAGTATTTTGCATAGTTTAACTTTAGTGTCAGCCAGAAGAAATGTAGGTTTTGACTGAAGAATTGTATTTGCTAGAGAGCCCAGAGCTCTGGACTGAAAACCTTGATCTCAGCCCTCATTAATACGTATAGAAATTTTATTTGTACTAAGGTACCTTTTCCTTCACCTATTTTCGAGGAGCCTGAAGTAAACACGTATAAACACCCACAAGCAACAAGAGCGTGAAATTGCATAAGAATATCTCAATTCAGTTAACAGAAGTTATTTTCTGACCTCTGTGATACCACTTGCTCTCTGACTCACAAAATCCTGTGTGAAAAATCAAGGTGTGAATACTTCTGAAATCCAATAGACTACGTGAAAACACTTTGCTTTTAAAAAAATATTAATGTATGGTGACAAAATGAAGAATTACAGCAAGATTTTCTTTCTATAAGTCATTTTAAACATACCAGTATGAGTGCTGAGCAGCATTTGTTGACATAGATAAACATGCACACTTGTATGTATAAGCCATTTTACAGCAAATACATAGAAAATGTGACAATTTTGACACTAAGAAGTATCCAGAATTGTTCGACTGAGGGATTTAATACACAAGAATCAAACTTAAAGTCAAAATTGCCACAAACTGTGAAAATACTGTTGGTTTGGTAAGTAAGAAAACTAAAGTATAATTTGAGTAGGTTGTGACAACAGCTGCAATCTCTTACCGGCAGCAGGCTGAAACGATGGCTGCCGTGCGAACCCAGGAGGAGGAGCTGGTGGAGGGCCTCAGAACCGAGTTCCATGAAACCGCCTGCAAAATACAAAGCTTGCAAGCAGAAACCGAATCTTTGAGGACCTTGGTAAGTAACGCTGAGTTTTCCGTGGGTACAATCTGTGTGAATTCAACATGTCCTCTGAGGAAAACATTCCCATCTTGGGCTGCAGGTTTAAGAATAAATCCCATTTTCCAGCAGCTATCATTTCCAGCGATGCTGGGCATTTCTGAGCTCTTCTTGACCCATGTGGTCCGTTAAGTGTACCGCATTTGACACCTGGCCCCCAGATTTCAATCTTCAGTGTTTTCATACTGAATAATAATTTAACTAAGATTGCCAGGTGGTAATGCTCTACAATGTGAAGAATACCTGCACCTTGTAACCAAAGTAGTTCAACCTTTGTAATGATAATGCGCATTTTTCGAAGTATAATACCTGCACCTTGTAACCAAAGTAATTCAACCTTTGTAATGATGAGTACTTTTCAAAGTACCTAAAGAAAGGAATTGTCCAAATAGTGCATCTTCACTTAAGCATATTCAATAAAGATACTGGCCAAAACTCGATAAAAATTACTATGAGGCATATGAAAACTGACTTTTTTAATGTCTTCTGTCCCGCCCTTACAGAAGAGGGGTCTGGAGAACTCTTTATACGACGCCAAGCACTGGCATGACATCGAACTGCAGAACCTAGGCTCTGTCATTTCCAAGCTGGAGGCAGAAATGGGAGAAATCAAAGTAGAAACGGAGCAGCAGCAGCGGGATCGTGAAAATCTGCTGACCAGCAAACAACAGCTGGAGAAAGACATTGCTGCGTATCACTGCCTTCTGGATGGAGAACAGAGCAGGTACTCATCATTCAAACAAGCGTGCCACAAGGATAGAGCCCACGTGCTCCCTGGGAAGGGGTCATGAGGTTGCTGGAAGCAGGAGGACTAGGGTGGTTCTCATGTTTCATATAGGTGGGTGGTGGACGGTGAAGTTTGGAGAAGCTGCCAAAGAAGGAAGAACACCCCAAATCCAGCTTAACATTTGTCCTCTGGGAATAAGCTGTAGACTCCTTCACAGTGGTTGGGTTGCTTGGTTGGGCTTTTTTAAGATCCTTAATCACTATTAATCATGGAACCTCTGAGAATCTGATCCACAGATTTTGACTTACTCTTCTGCTCAGGTCAGGGAGAATTTCTTTTTAATAATCAGCTGAAGTTGATGAGCTGAACTGAATGAGGATAGTACTTGGTTCAGAAATTTTCCTATTTGTGGGAGTGACTGATTTATTTTTTTTTTTACTTTCAGCTGATTATGAAACTCCCAGCCCACAGAAGACCATTGCCATTAAAGCAAAAGAAGATGTCACTGCCAATTATCTTTGTGGAAGCTAAAAACCCATCAAAGCAGCCTGCTTTATTCAGTTTGATTCAACAATCGAAGTAGGTTGTAGCTTGAACAACTTTATTAGGCCCTCCTCATGTAATTGCTTTGCTTACAGATTTCAATTTACTCATGTTGTTAAAATTATAATAAAAATTAAGAATATCAGGTTTTTCGTTCGACGTTTTTTCCTTACAGTATTTTTCCTGAGAGCTGAAGGGGATTGGATTAAGATTCCATTTTCCAGCAAGTAAAGTGTTTCTTTTTATAGTGCAGATATATCAAGACTAAACTTACCCCTCCACTGTGCACACGGCATCCACGTGGAAATGGCAAGTGCTCTGTTGTGCCACAAGACCATCGACTCACTAGCGTGAAATTTAATTCAAATAATGCTGAAGTGTGCCATTAACTCGATGCAATTAATTCTGTAAGACGTAAGCACTAATGCAAGCATCCCTGCAGTATTTAATAAACCTGTTTTAAATCTAGATTAAACTTTTGGAAAAGGTGAAGGGGAGCAACAGCAGTTCTCTCTGCAGTCCAGGTCACGTCCTGGACTGAGAGTCCCAGCCAGGGACTCTGGCGGTAACGTTATGGAATGAAGCGCTCTGCCTACGCGTTACCGAAAGAAGTGCTCTGCTTGTGCCGTGCAAACGTCAAAGCGGTTTGCAGTGCTATCGCCTTCATGGCTCGGAAGGGAGATAATCAGGTACGAAGGAGTAAGGGTAAAACAAAACACTGGGAAATGGAAGGCTGCTCCTAACTCCTGCATCACCCACAACTCACTTTGGCTTTCCTTTCTTCTGTTTCTCCATGGGACCAGTGGGAGCTGTGGATGCCCCATCCCTGGAAGTGTTCAAGGCCAGGCTGGATGAGGCTTTGAGCAACCTGGTCTAGTGGAAGGTGTCCCTGCCCGTGGCAGGGGGGTTGGAACTGGATATTTAAGGTCCCTTCCAACCCAAACCATTCTGTGATTCTATGATTCTACGTGTGCTAGCGAGGGCCTTCAGTCTGCTGCCTCAGTGGAGGTAGGGGATGGAGATCCACACGGCAGCAAAGGCGCAAGGGTTACCGATGTGTTAGAAACCACAGAAGTGCCTGAGAACGGTCACATAGGAATTTGGGCTTCTCCCCCCCCAAAAAGGTGGCAGGAGCAATAGTGCAGCTGAAGCACATCCACACCGATTCACGCAGCACGGGAACGAACGGGAGTTGCTGGAGGCCATTGTGCGACAGGAAAACTATGACACAGCTGGAGTGCCGCAGTGGGCAGCTATAAACTCTTCAGAAGGGACAGGTGAGGAAGGAGAGGCGGGAGGGGGTCTTTTCCTACCTAAGCGATTCTGTGAGTCTATGCCCCTGTCACGGCCACGTGGTGCTCTGGATATATTCCGTGCATTACAGACGTTGTTTCTGCTGGTCCGTGCCTGTGAGCCATTCTTCAGCTAAATGTCCTCTGCATGAGTGCTGAGGATCGTTACGTTTGGGAGAGGGAAAGAAAAAAACCAGAAACACTGACCTTTTTTTTTCCTGCATCTAAGATTTTACACAGCAACCCACATAACCATAGAAGCTGAGGCAATGCATTCATAGAGAACTCCAAACCCTGTGCATCAGCACGTTTTAACCATTTTACATAAAAATAACACTACAGGTGGGAGGCACAGCCAAGCATAACTGCATGTCTAATGCTTCCTTTAAAGTGCCAACTGAGACGTGTCTTCAAATCTGGATCCAAGCCTTCCGAGGCCTAAAACACTGCTGATATTTTCCATGGTTTTCCAGATTTAACAGCTGAAATGTTTCTTGGTACTCTGCTCCTGGCAGGTATTCAGTTTCTCATCCAAAGTTAGTCACTCCAGCCTTAACAGCACGGTGTTTGCAAGGGACAAGTGAGGCTAAAAGCAAAAAGGCAGCAGGTTTGCATTCTTCAGTCTGGGGTCACCCGTAATAACGCGACGAAATTACTTCACCAGCTGCTGAAATGCAAAAAAAGGCGTTAGCTTAGAGCCAGACACAGTGCTGTACTTAGCGGCCATTATTAGCTGATCTACCACAAAAGCCGAGGGATAGGAATTGTCTGCTTAGTTGCATATTATTATCAGTGCTGAGCCTGCGAGTTGCGGTGCGGCGCCGCGCAGAGGTGCGTCAGCTTCCTGGGCAGTCGCGGAGTACAAACGCAAGGGAAGGCAGCGTGGCAACAAAAGGAACGTCAAACAACCTTCCACACCTGGCCGCCCTGCCCCACATCTTCCAGGCAACCTTCTGGTAAACGAAGGGGGCAGGAGGAGTAGGAGGGGAGCCCAGGTACACCCCAGGAGGCACAGAAAGTGAGACTGGGCTACCATGCCTGTCAACTGCTTCAATAGTTATTCCTGTCACAAGGCAGAAAGTGCCGTCGATCACGTGGCATTCTTGGTGTTATCAGCGGAACCGTTACGCCCGCAATTTTTAGTTCCCAGGGGCTGTGCACTGGGATCAAATCCTGTGTAGAGGAATATAGGGAGAACGCAGCATGCGAGACGTATAGAGAGGATTGTAACCAATCTCCCAAACGCAGAACACTCAACTACAGTGATTTCAGCTACAAAACGCCTCACAAAGATGTATTTGTCTACTTTCTGCAGTGTGACAATGGCATCTCCCCTGCTTTCTCAAACAAGCTGACAATTATGGATGGAAAACGCTGAACAGTATTTTCATGGACTTTCATTAAAGAGGCTGTCACACACTCCCAAAGTTCAGAGAAACTTTTCATTTATGTGTTAATACATACACACGTAATGGTTTCAAAAGAAAATATCACAAGGCATAAAATGATACTAAATAAGTCAAGAATTACAAACCTATTAATACAAACCGATGTTTATTTGACAGGTAATTCTCGTTTGGGTGCACACTTCGGCAGCAGGAACACGCATCTCGTTTGGGTGAGTGACCAACAAAGCCATCAGAAACGATGTTTCATTCAACTGTTCATGACTCATGACAGTCTGAGGCTCTTTGTCAAAATGTCCCGCCTCAAACCTTTTGACAAGGCATTCTCAAGCCACAGTGACCTTCGCAAGCACCCATAGCTCTTTCACAGAGCTCAATGTCACGACAGTACCCAAAGCTGCAGCAGCCTGCACACACCCACCGCGGAGTTTGTTTTCCAGCACACATTCCCTAGGCTACGCTCCGAGTCAGGAAAGCAGCTAGGCAGTTCACACCGACACATCTGGCCATCGCAGAGCGGTGCTGCTAGTCTTCCTCACCCACTTCACCTCACCGCTTCCAAGGTGAAAGCTAGACGACTTCCTTGCATCCCTCCCAGTGACAGCCTGATCGCACGGCCCTTTCCAGCGGGCGGGGCGGCCGAGCCTCGGCCACCTCAGCCCACACCAGGAGTGAAGGCCGCTTTCCCTCAAGGGAGGGGAACAGGGCGCAAACAGGCTGCGAGGGCCCCTGGGCCGGGGGCGGAGGCCGCTCTCAGCCTCCTCCCGAGCGGCTCCGGCCGCGCGCGGCG